CTCTTGAGCGTGTCATGGGAAAGGGAGTGGTTGATGTGGGAGGTCAGCTAGACTGCTGTTAGTATTGCTGCTGATGACAAGATGAAGAGACGCGGCGTTCGACTTACCTTGTCAGTAATCTTGCGAACCATGTCACGCTCAGTTCTCTTCAAGTGCCTGAAGGCCTTGCCAAAGTGGAACTGGATATCATCACGCTCGCCCTCCATGCTCACACGCAGCAACAGTCTTCCCTGGGTGTCAAGATCAAGCCAGAACTCTCTGGGGAGATAGTCGCTAAAGTGCACGGGGTCAAGTTTCAACGAGGTACGCCCGACGAAATCATGGTCACCAAAGGTATCATAATCCCAAATGGTGGCGATGATGTTAAGGGGGCCCGATACGGTAATATCGATCGACTCGTCCCACCTCGGGTTGAGGTTCCTCATGATGATTCTTGTCTTGGCCAGACGTTTTTGGTACTCGTCACACAGAACCACGTACGGATCACTATACCCACCGGGGTCGCATGCTTTCAAGTCCTCGGCCTCTACGATCTTGATCGTGAACACATACTTGCCTGCTTTCCTAACCAGGGGCTTGATGCCTTCGACCCGGCGGATCGCCTCGGCACAGCCGTCTACGTTCATGGTCTTTTCTAGCTTATCCAGCGCTTGCATGGCATATTCAATGTTGTTGAGTTTGACAAAGGACTGACCCGAAGAATTAGCCTACAGTGACAGTAAGAACTCACATGTGTGGTACGTACCTGTGGATAGAACTGGAAAGGCTCGACCTTGTCCTTCGAGTTCCACGCATCCTTGGCGTACTGAAGAAACCGATCTTGCGCCGACCTGCTAGCAGCGGCCTCTTGAGGAGTCTGACGGTCCATTTCTTTGGCAAAATGCTGCTCCACAATCTCGCAATAACGACCAATGCCTGCTGAGAAGGCTTTGGCCAGTGCAGTCATGAACTTTGCGTGGTGAAGCTCGTCATCCCAGTCAAGCTGGTGAATCTGGTTGACGGTCTGGGTGAACAGCGTAAAGGTGTCGATGATGGAGACACTGTGGCGTTGCTCATCGGTGGGGATATCGTCGGGATCGTTCGTCCTGACCTGGAAGGTGTCCTGTTTGATCGCTTGCTCCACGAAGTCGGTCATTCTAGCTTCGGCATTCCTAATCCATCGCCAGACGAAGTCTTCGAGGAGGCTTTCGATGTGGAAAGCAAAGGGCTTTCCAGGTAAAGACTCGACGTGCATTTTTCTAATCTCCACAAGTTCCTTGTACAAATCGAAGCCGTCCTGAACATCGATTTGGCCTTCCTCACCGCGGATCTTGCTCATATCCACGACACGCTTGATGAACTCTTGTGCATCTTCCTCAAAGCTGGGGAAAATGGTCTCGACCAGGACCTTAAATGGACTAGCACCCATGATTTCGGGGTTTTTGCGATATCGCTTCTTAATCTTCTCCGCAAGACCGACAACAGCCTGACCGAGCTTAACGACATGGGCAAAGTTCCAGTCTTCCATGTTGGAAGGAATATTGGCATCCAGGAAACCTCGGTAAACTTCGGCGGCTCTTTGACGCAGTCCGTTTTCGAGATGCTGGGTATACTCGGCCATCTCGTCTGGGCGTTCGGTATATGTAGGGTCATTTTGGACGTGATTCGTAAGTACCGACATTACAACACCGACTGATGGTGGATTAGGCTGGTAGCACTGAATCAAGAGCGTGTAGAGTTCGCGCAACAAAGCGTCATGGAGGTCCTTTATGGATTGCTGATAGCCCGCAAAATCCGTCATTGTCCATCGGCCTGGCTCAACATCAAAAAGAGTGGCGCCGAAAAAGTTGATTGGGGGCGGCTTCTTTGGCTCTGGCTGGGCCTCCTTGACAAAGTCGAGGCAAGCATCAAGCTGCATTGTGGAAATTTCTTGGTCGAGGAACTTTCGTACGGCAACCTCGACGAGCGTAACGTGGCGCATAAACTGGGGGATGCGCCATCTAATGGCCAACTCGGTCAAAAACTCGATGGACTCCTCTGAGAAGGGGAACTCCTCAGAGTGCAGTTGGTCGTAAGACATGACATATTGTAGAATAGTCTTGTAGACCGGCCGTGGGTCTACTGGCATAAAGGTATAACTCGGCTCGTCCACACTTCGAATGCTGGAATTATCGTCAGGAGACATGGGGCTGAAGCCAGACGACGGATCAAAGCCAAAGCTGCCCGAGCTGCGGTTCGAAAGCATCTTGCTCAAGTCGGAAAATGCCTGATCCTCCGAATAAAGCGACATGGGCCGTAATGGAAGGGGCTTATCCGAGCCGGAGCCGGTCTTGAGATCTGGACGAATACTCAGAATTTCGGCGAAGATTTGGGCCAATTGCTGGGTCTCGGTTCTCTTCCAGTCCTCAAATGCATCATCCACGTCAAAGTCCAATTTTCGCAGAGTGCCAGCCATGTTTGCCGACAATCTGAATTGGTAGTTTTTGAAGTCTTTTAGGGCCGCCTCTTCGGTCCATGTGGTCATGTTTTTGTCGATGTCATTCTGAACCTGCGAGTTGGGCAAGCCAAAGATCTTGGCAACAAACAGAACCATGGGCATGTCCTTAATCTCGTAACTCAGGGGCACCTCGACTTCAACGAATGTTGAACTCTCTTGGCCCTTGTCCAAGGACAGATTCTGGTCGTTGGTCAAGAGCTTGTTCTCGAGTGTGTTTAGACGGGCCAGAAGGTCATCGCGGTCGCTGCCAATGTCTTTGATAACGCTGGAAATCAGGCGGACAAACATGGCCAAATGTCTGTCGACGAGGGACCTCCAGTGATAGTCATCGGGAGACTTTCCAGCACTATGGAACTTGATGGCGGACGAGTAGAAGATCAAGACCAGCGGCTCGACTTTGCGGTCCTTATCAATGGACTTTTGGAAGTCTCTTTGGGTAAAAGCGGTGTATGCCACACCAAAGGTGCGCTTGACGGCGGCGTCATTGTATCCGGGCAGTCTCTCGGTGCCTTGCAGAACGGCGGTCATGCGCTTCTCTAGCTGGCCACGGAAGCCATGCGGCAGCTTCATGGAAGACGAAGAGCCAGAGGGCACAAAGTCCTTCATGAGCTCGCTCACACTGGAGCTATGCGATCGGTGGACGGCCTTGGGGACGGCGACATATTCCTTGCGCTTTTTGCGTGGCTGTAACAGGTAGTTGAGGAAGGCGACGCGGAGGGCAAATGAGTAGGCCTCATCATAGCTAACGGCGGTCTGGCGGGCCTTGGAGGCCTGAATGCGACTGTTGCGTCTTTCCTCGTCGCTGGTGACGCTGCGGACGCTCTGGATGCTATCGACTCGGCGGTTCGAGGCGTACGAGTGTCGCGTAGACCCCGACATGGTGGAAGAAGTTGTGTTGGGTGCACTGGCAACTGTTGCGCTGGTGGTCGGTGGCCTGTCGACCGGTTCACGAAGGAGAAAGTAGGTCGTCGTGTCGTCACAAGTCAGTGGTCCCGATTCAAGGGAGTCCCTTCATTGTTTTTTGGTTGGGCGCGTATTCGGTAGCTTGGAGATGCTGACGGACAGCGATGATGTCGATCGGGGTGTTTTCCCCCTTATTGATTCACACGGTCTGGGACGGGCAAGAACTGAAGACTCGACAAGAGGTTTCGGTAGTTTGTATGAGCGGACGGCAGTGGCACGAGGCAACGAAGTTGTTGGTTGGCGTTTAAATCATGCAAGATCAAAAATGTTGTTTCGTTGGCCAAGGGACCTCTCCCCTCGACGGGACCTGGAGAAGAGAGCTGGGGAACCTACCTACCTAAGGAGTCGAACGGCTCCTTTCGCTACACTATCGCAAGTGCACAGTGACGGCCCAGTAAGAAGGAGTCCAGCCCATGCTGGTTTGTTAGTGCAAAGGAACGGGTTGACTGGGTGGGAGTCTGATGCCGTCCCTTGTGCAATTTCCTCGGGTACCTACCTTTGCGTAGCGCTTGAGAGCCAGAAACGTCGTCATATATGCACGTGCACCCTTCCCTGCAAACAACCCCTAGACTACACTAGACTACACTAGAGGTAAGAAAACATTACCTATCATGGTGTTTTTGAAAGTTGTGATACCTAAGCTGCCCGGCGGATGACGCCGAACTTTCTGTGCTTCTTCAGCGGATTTGATTCGTAAAAGGTTCGCGAGCACGGCATGTTCTAGCATGATGCTTGCTGTAGTCTTTCCACCATTTCATTCTGTACTTAACATGTCCAACGACAAACTCGCAGCCAATTCGACAAAGGGCGAAATTAACAAACACTCGGTCGGATATTTAGTATACGAAGATTCCAAGATCATTGGGGGCTGTGTTTGAGGCTCATTGTTCTGATTTGAAATATTGACATCCCCTGCCTTCTAGAGGTATCATGTCAACTGACACCTTGCTTTATTTCTCACATGTTCAGAGCGGCCAGAACTCAAGAGGATGGATGACAAAAGTCCACTTTGACGCATCGATGCTGGGAGTGATAATAGCATCTTCTAGCAGCTGTCCCTGTATCCAACCTTGCAACATACCACAGATTACGCACCCCCTCGACACGAGGCAACGGAACTCGGCGCCTCGTATCAACGGAGGAGAATCAGAACAGCGTGGGGTCCTAGTGGAAATGAAGAAAAATATCCATCATGGCACACAGCTTGCTGGGTGTGGCAGAGTTGCTGATCAGCCATGCGAGCCGTGTTTGGAGATGTTGGTCTATTTTTGCTCTTGGTCTTGGGCCATACATTGTCAATACATATGTTAAAATCAACAAGTTTGGTGTTATTGCTTTGGAGAGGAAGCGTGACATCATCACCAACCACGGTCAAGAGAGTCTAGATGGTCACGGTCCTCAGGCCCACCATGCGCCAAGCGGGTGAGAGCCGAAAGGGATTATAACTAACACATGCCGAGTTGGAGGTTCTGAAACTTGGCTCTAGATACAGGGTCACAAACCTGTGCGATCTACACCAAAGGCGCCGCACACTTTTCCTTTGTTTCCGCGTTAGCTTCGATTAGTTGTTGAAGGACTTGCCACCGGCCATCGATCTTCCCATCTTGCCTTCCGAGACAAAGTGACTGAATGGCCGTTGGGAGGGCCGGAACAATAACTCCAGGCACGCGTCGCCAGGGACGGGTGATGCCAAGGGAAAGGGGGGCATGGGCATGGGCCATGGGGAGGCTGATGCCCTGGGGATGGATGGGGCTATCACGAGCTTTGAAAGGAACACAAGCTCCTCTCTTTGTCTTTGCCAGATGACCCAACTGCTCGGCGCTTGCGTGGTTCGGGGCACACTGCATAAGGTAGGTGGCCATTTGCCAGAAAAGAGGACAGTCTGTGATAAATCGGAAAAGAACAAAAGACACAAGGAAACCGTTGGATAACTCGGATGTGTTGGTTGCACAGCATCGACAATCATCTCGGTACTTGCACAAGATCGTATGGAATTCATCAGCTTGTCCGGATTCTTTCTGTTTTCTCTCGCTGCACTCGGTTCCCCCTTGGCACTTGGCCCACTCTTTCGAATCCAAGAAAGAAATCGCACTCGGCAACCCCAGGGTTAACAGTGTGGACGAGTTTCACGTCTGCAGTGCTCTGCGCGCATCCACCTGCCCCTGGCAGAGCAACACTCTTGGCCATCAGGGTTGTTGGTCGATTTGGGTGCCCGCCAAGCCCTTCAAAGCAAAGACTCGGTCGGTGACTTGGGTCCCATCATTCCAATTGAACCCCGCCGTGTGCCGCAAGTGGAAGCGCATCAGACACACCCGACATCGATCCGGATCAGTCGCAACCACCGCTCTCAACCGCCTATGTACTGGAGAGCCGCCTGCCTGGTCGTTGACGTCCATTGTTAAATTGCAGTCAAGTGGCCGTTCACATCAATCCAGACTGGGCTCGTATCCATGTCCACTACAAACTGGTACTGACCGGCGGCTCTTACCATATGTAGGTTGTGTGCCCATGTGTGCCTGTCTTGTGCCGTCTTCCTGTCCCTGACTTGGGTTGCCGGTAGGTACTGTAAGGAAAAAAAAAAAGAAGAAGAGCCGACCACCAGGAGAGATCGACGACAAGTGAACTTCCTGCGCGGTTCTCTTTTGCCTCACCTTGCTGGGTCCCGTAACCGCGACCATTGTTTACATAGGTACCTCTACATACTTTACCTCTACCGCTCGACTCCCTCTCCCATCGATGTGTCCTGTCCCGCCCGGGCGTCGTTCCAGCGGGCAACAGCAGCACCGTCATCCAATATCATTCATACCTTACCTACCTTACACCAAGTGGAAGTGAACCACATTACCAAACAAAAGGAACCCACACAGTCCAGCTAGCGCAAGTTTGGCAGGACAGACTAGCGCAGTCTGGAAAGTCCACCCGCCTGGGCCCGCCTGCACCACTGCCCATCCAGCATCCACTGCGCCGCGCGCGAACCGACACCTGCGAGACTGCGAGAGAAGTGAACGAACTACGAAACTCGGCAACAGCAAAGAGACGACGGACTATCTCCGGCCAACCCATCGCGCCCGGCAGCCTCAATTCCCC